TATATATGGTTTTATGAGTAACATATTAAATGGCAGTTACTGTATATTAATCATATTTTTAACAGAAAAAAATTCCAGTATCGGTTTATATCTTTGCTTACGAGAATAGAAACAAAGAAATCCTTGATGATTTATTATGATCTATAAATACGAAAAATATGTCTGAAATCAAATTTTTCTCCATCAACACGAAAGATTAAATAGAGAGTAGTCAAAACAAATAATAGAAATATATATTAATATAAGTGTCGAAAGACTTTTCTTAGTTATCCTATTTGGTCTATACTGCTAGTACTGTCTACGTATTGAATCGAAAGCATTATATCACAATGCATACCTCCTTGCTCGTATTTTCAATTTTTTTGATCGGTACAACTTTGAGTAATCCAGTACATTATGATCAAATTGATAAAAAATTGACGGCTATATCAGAACAAATCGATCAAGCTGAATTACGCTTGAACAACAGTATTACTAAGTTATTAAGTAAATTAGATAGTAGTAACCACGATCTCACACAATTGATCAAATCACTTCATACTTCACGAGTAGTTGGTGAGTTTCTTGTTTCTAAATACGTATATATAGAAAAAGAACTATTTTCAATTACTTGATAATTATTTGTCTTTCCTATTAGATAATAGTCAATCATCTAATCAAGCTGTTAGTGCACTTTTAGTTATTGATGTTCAATATGATTTTATTGATGGAAGTCTTGCATTAAAAAATTGTCCATCGAAACACAATGGTGAAGAAGTTATTCCAGTTATAAATCAATTGCTTGATTCTCATAAATTTGATGTTGTTGCCTACAGTCATGATTGGCATCCTACTGATCATATATCATTTTTCGATAATCTTCATCTTCGTTCACATTTACTTACCTCGGATTCAATACCATTAGCTGATCTTAAACTTTATTCAATAGCAACATTTGCTATCAATGGTCTTCCTCGTATGGAACAAAGTCTTTGGCCTAGACATTGTGTTCAAAATACTCATGGTGCTAAACTTCATTCTGATTTGAAAGTAATCGAGGAAGATAATGCACAAAATATTTCGGTTATTCATATTCAAAAAGGAACAAAACCTGATGTTGATTCATATTCAGCTTTTTGGGACAATTCTAAATTAGGTGAAACACAATTAAATCAATTTTTAAAAGAAAAAGGTGTTACTCAAGTATTTGTTGTTGGTTTAGCAACAGATTGGTGTGTATATTCAACAGCTATTCATGGAATGGAACATGGTTATAAAACATTTATTATTGAAGATGCATGCCGTGGAGTAGATGAAAAAACAATCAAAGAACGACTTAATGATTTTACACAAAAAAATGGTCATATTATTAAATCAAGTCAAGTGAAAGATTATATACAAGAGTAATCATAACATTTATTCTCTACAATCCTTAATGAATACAATATTTCTATTCATTGTCACTTTTTTTTCAAACCAGCAGTGCTAAGAATCCTTTTTTTTATCAAAGATATCAAATAAATTCTATAGTTAAAAATTAGTTCTCTTTCCATAAATAATAAGATTCTATCTACTACAATTTGCGAAGGCAAGAATAAGAAGATAATACGATAATTGTAAATAAAGATCAATTTATAAATCTATCACTGTGTGTATAGTTCTTATCATCGTATGTCATGACGACATCCACCTTTGTTTTCATCAAAACATTCCAAAAACACAATATATAAATATTATCAGCAAGCATTGGAATGAATCTGACATTAATTTAAATAACTTCATTACTAATTCCCATAGGATATCAGTTAGAAGCAATCATTGTTGCTACCGATAATACTCTGACAATTTCATGACTCATACATTGATCACAATAGAATGATGTGAGATTTTGAAAATATACTTGTGATAAAATAAAGAGAACAATACCAACTTGATTACTTTCAATTAGAATAGTGCAATTTTAAGTTATCTTATGTCACTCATTAATGATCTTTTCTCAGAATATAATGTAAATACAAGCAGTATCAATAATTTGATAAATGTCATAAACTATATTCTCAATCTACTAATGATCTTTTATCATCAAGAAAATACTACTTTATAATTAATGATAACAAATAATGACATACAAAATCTTCAAACTATATTTAATGGTACATTGTTCTCGACAACACAGAACTTACATGTTGAACAGATAATTCAACAAAAGTTTTATATTCTATTAGTTTTTTTTGCATATATCAATATTTTTATTACAGAGTTTACTGAAGTATCAGTTAGATCAATTGAATATTACGAGAGAACAAATAATAACAAACTGTTTTCAATTATCATTATCATCATCTCAACCATTTATTCAATTTCTTCAATTAATTAAGCAGCCTGAACCAATTCCACTTATATTTAATCAATTTTCTTCTTATTCGAAAATTTTAATGGATAGTATTTCAAATCTTCTCAAACATAGTACTATTATTAGATATAATATCTCTTTAAAGATCATACATTCAATAATACATAATCATAATCTAAATAATTGCGCGAAGCATCATCATCATCAAGAAACGATAATTATCAATCAACAATTGTAAATGGAAATGTTGGTCAAAGCCGACGGAAACCATCATATAATGTAATCGAAAAACGATATCGATCTAGTATTAATGAAAAAATACATGAATTGCAAGAGATTGTAGCCGCTGGTGACGGAAAGGTAGGCGAAGATAGTCTAAGATAGAAAGCAGAAGAAGAAAAAGATTAATTGGAATAGAAGTAGATAAACCTATCGTCAAACGATAACAAGGATAAAGCAATTGCTTTTCTTTAGTTTTTTTGTTGGACAGGTTGTTGATTAGATATAGTCTATCTTTTAGATTATATCATCTGACAAATGAAGACTAATGATGCGTTGACAAGTTTTTTCTTATTCAATAATAATTTATTTCTTATCAAATAGATCTATATATCTGGTATACTTCGACGTATAGTTGAACATATTCAACAATTTGAATCAATAATTATGAGAAGAGGAAGAAAATCTTACATTAAAAACCATCTTGATACAATTAAATTTGACAAGTATGTTTACAATCATATTTTATCTGTTTAATATCTATTTAATTTAATAAATATTTTACTAGACTCTTTCCTATTTCAGTTTTATTCGTTTATTTTCTCTTGAGACCTGTTACGAACAAACGATAGATAGACATAAAGCAGTAGACTGCTGTCATCACTCGTTCGATGACAATGATTGCTTTCTTCTTTTATTAGTTTCAGATAATGCGAGTGTATCCGAGAAAGAAAAAAAGAAAAAAAAAGGAACATCAGATTCTATTCTACTATAAAATGACTGTATCTACAGTTAGATTTATTATTTCTTCATTCTTCGATTCAGATGCTGATGTTTTAGACAATCATGATGGACGATCAACGGATAGGAATACTTCCGTTAAAAATTCAGCATCACCATTATCGATATCTAATGATAAAACATACAGTATTGTTTCAAAATGTAAAATAATACATATATAATTATATTTCATCGAATTATCTCGTTTTTTTAAAGGACAAAAACGAACAAACAGTCAACGAAGTATGGTTAATGGATTACGATTAATTTCATGTTTGTTTTATATTATTTATACTTATTACAAATCTATTTAATTATCTACATGATCATATTCATTCATTCGATAATAATAATACAAATGAAATACAATCAATTATTTGTTCAAGAACATTACAAACTACAACTGATAATGATAATTCAAATTTATGTTATATATTTTCAATTTAATAGTTGATCATATGGATGAGGTATGTAATAAATGAAATAAATATTTTTCAGTCAGAAATAAACGGTTGAGTTTATCCTGAAATATTTTATGAATTAAGTTCGATTAGAAGTGAAAGAGAAACTAGATTTCTATGTCTGAATATCACTACTTCTGTTAGTTCATGTTTTTCAAAAACTAACTACATTAATAAGGAAAGCTTCTTTATATAAATTACTTCCTAATCAATCGGAAATCTATAAAGCAACTATAGTACTTCACTAGAACATTCAAGGTTCATACTCTTGAGAAAATTATATCATACAGACCTAGTAATAACTACAAAACAAGATATACGATTATTCTTTTCTGAAGAATAAAATAAGTTATTCTATATTCATATTTAAGCAGAATTTATCTCTAATATAAATAGTAACATAAAGTTAAAAATCTTTCTTTTTTAAACATATAAAATATGTAATTTCATTTTCTTTCGTATCTAAAAGAATTAATTGATAATACATATAATATGGCAAATAATTCGTTTATATCTTAATTTAATATTTATTGGTCTGAATGAACGAAATCAATTCGTACACGCTATTATAATCTTGAATTAAATGATTGTTTTTTATAATTATAAAAAAATGAATATTATTATTCAATATTATATATATCAATATATTCTGGGACAGAAAATGAAATATGTTATTTATGATAATATAATAAATCTTAATTAATAATGAATTAGATCTTTATTCATAATGGTAATATAGTTTACAATTTATATGTTATATTTCAAATGATGAACAAAATATAGATAATATTATTTCAAGAAATTAGATATTCAGATCAAACAGTTTTCTTTTCAGTGAACGATATATTGTGACTATTGAAACACTGTGTAATATATTTATTGTATTAACGGATGATAGTAATCAATAAGAATATTATTACTTAGATCATTAGCAGAATCAAGTCGATTATTTACGTTGATAATTGCTAATAATTGTAATGCTAATAATAAAAATAGTCTTGATATGGTATGTTTATTGACTTTATTTTAGAAAAATATCTTCGGCCTCTTGTGCATTGTTGTTGCATTGCATTCACGAAACTGAATCTATGCAATGACAAGGACAGTGCAACAAGAAGAAGGAGAACATCGACGAATAATTTTATTGATAAAACCTTATTTTATGTTAATATTCGTATTATTCTAGGCTATCAAAAGATTATTATTAGATAATATTCTTGCATTATATCTTCGACTTCTAACAAATAATAAAAATACTCCATATTTTAATGATTCTCAATGAGAACTAGATCATTATAAGCAATGTAATCAGTGAATGAAATTACCAAAACGAATCCATTAACAACTCAGACATAATTTGAACGTGCAATTAAGCATACAAACTTTATTATTCAAACAAAAAAAAGGTAAAAATTTAAAGAATAGTGGAAAGTTAATCGATTAGAAATCTATAATTTTAGAATCATCATCAAAACTTCATGTCATTGAAGCACCTTTCGTCGTCAACAAATTATTGCTACATCATCAAAAACAAAGAAAAATCATGGGTTTAATCATTTATAATAACCGTGTTTGATGTTGATACGTCCGTCATAGCTGACTCTTTAGAATTTTTAGTGAATCTTATAATATTTTGTTTGTTTTTTTGCTGATATATATAATAAATATGTGATACTTTGTAGAACCATACAATAACTGTTGATTTTGAGAGAAATTGAAATTTGCGATTCTGATTGATTATACTCTATGATGCTTTTATCTGTTGTTTGTATACAAAATGTCTATGACTAATACATAAATAATGTAAATACTACGAAATTTTTGTACATGTCTGTGTGAAAGTATTTACTTTTGATATAAAGTACAACTTAACCTTTCTCCTACCCTTTGGGCGTTGTATCGCCCACTTTATAAAAATTTGGTTTTTTTAACTAGGAGACATTATCAATTGTACAGTTTAAATCAATAATCTGAATCTAATCTTTATTATTGAGGGAATTCTTCAAGTGTTCGGAAAGCTTAATATACTAACATTTAGCGAATTTGTTTTAAACTTTTTCCGTCCATATTAGAGTTCATTAGGTTAATGGTATTAAACAAATGATCATTCTAAACCGCTAGGGTTAGTCGAAGACAAGAAAGGATTGAAATGTATACTATCATATGATGTTTTAACGAGTAATAAAATTCTAGAGTTCTAGTGAATATCAATATGAAGTAATTATTTCGTAAAGTGTAAACAAAGATAGAATGTTAGAAAGAATTATAATATTCTAAAATAAATCATTTGACAACAGACATATGTCTTATTTAATATATTATTTATTGAACAAGTCTTATATCATGTTGCTCTATCTATATAAATTATTCCAAGATATTTCAGTAAAATAATTTCATTTAGTACATACTCATAGAAATGGTAAATCAGCATCTTGACTTTATGACTCAACTGCATTATTGACCTCACTATTTTTCAAATAGGTACACAGTTTATGCAGAACTAATTCTAAGAAAGTACATATAATAATAGCGTAGGAACAACATTGATTTATCTAAGTCAATGTACATGTTGATCTTTTAATCACTTATATATATATACACATTGTTATTCTATGTATTACTATTTATATATTAATATATATCAAATAAAAACAAATATTACGTATTTTTAATATACAGCTCATTTTTTATAAAAAATATGCTGGAAAGGTTTCATCACTATAGATAGATAAAGTACATGAATTCTATCTTATCATACATTGACTTTTACATCAAATAAGTAAAACATTTAAAATAATTATAATCTTTTTATTTTCTCAAGAAAAGCATCAACGAGTAGAGAAATTCCTTTCCTATAAAAGGAATGCTTTCGTACTATACATGTTTTCAGTTACGAAACATCGTATTACTTTTTCTCTCTCTTCATATTTATTATCAACCGAAGTAAAATAACTCAACATTGTACGTGCAGTAAAGATGAATAGAAATAGTATATTTTATAACACTGATTATTACATAAATAGTAAAGAGAAAAATAAATCGATAGAATAAGGTAAGAAGATTAGGTCAAGTACAGTTATAAAACTATTAGAAATTCCTACTCCTCTTCATACACTTAGAATTTCAAGTAGATTTATTTTAAATAATCCTCGATTGATCAATCTGTTTTAATAAAGAGTAAAGTCCCTCCGAAATAAATTCTAAAACAATCCAGATGTTTATTATCAATTCTTTTTTTCTCTTCTCTTCTTGTGAGAAATCACTCGTCTGTTGATTGATTTCAATTCTATAAAAAAAAAACGTATTCAATATAACATACATTTATATACCTGTGAAAACGAAATGTATCCTGTTTATTATCTGACTAATTTTGAATAGATTACTAATTTTTGAATATTTACAACTACTTGAATTTCTCATAGATTCTAATGAAAAAATTATTGTCATATAATGGCTTTTTTTAACCATATACATATACAATTACTTCGGTTAACAAACTGATTTCTTCACACGATTCATCACTTCCCACTATTGGGAATCTTATTCCAATTATTAAATCAAAGACGAATATTTCTACTAGTAAACGACGTACAATATTGTTTATATGTGAACCTATTGTTACCGGTGTTTTCATATTTCCATTATTAATCATTTTCTGGCAATCCGGTTGGAATTTTATGATCGAATGGTTTAATACATTTTTACATGAACATCAAACTATATTACCTTATCTTTATCTATTATCTCAATGGATCTTTCTCATCATTTACATCAACCAAAATCGTCTCTATAATTTTCTTATTAAACAACAATTGAAATTTTTTGTAATTATCATTTTACAATCTCATTCATTTATTACTGCTTCGAATTATATCGTACAATGGGTATCAATATGGACATTTTTAGATTATTATACATCAGATGACTGGCTTCTTATGCTTATAATTAGTATTGCTGCAGTATTAGCAACTATAACTGTAACAGGACATTTATGTGATCTTGTTTGTTCACCATTTATAATTAGTTATGATTCTATTGAATATAACATTCGAATTGAAACACCATTTATAACAGAAAAAGTAAGTTTTTTATTATGAAATCTATAATAAATCGAAATGATTAATTATTTAATTTTAGATGAACCAATGTCTTTCTCATGTATTAAATTACATTTTTTATGAATATGTCATATCAATATTATCTATATTAGCATGGCGAGGTTTTTACAAATTTCTTGATATTCATTTATATCCAAATAATGAAAATATATCAGCTTGTTTAAGTCTTCTAATTGGTTATCTATTATTTTTTATTCTTATGTATACACAAGCATTTCAATTTAATATTTGTTTATTAACAACATTTATAGAAATGAATTATCCATGTTTTCTACAAAATCTTCGTCATTTATGTGCATTTTTTTCATCTATATTATTATGGAGAGGTTTTTGGATTCTATTCGATATACATATTGCAACAATATCAATTGTATATGAATCTCCTTTAAAATTTTATATTAGTTTTATGATAATATCATTTGTTATTTTAAGTTTAATGAAAACAGCATCGTCAATCAATGGACCAATGTCACATATTAATGATAATGATAATCTTTTTCCAATCTATTCAAATTGTTTTCTAAGTAAATGGTTTCGTGAAAAGAAAAATTTAGGTAAAACTGTATCAAATCCAAGTCAAATTACAGATAATGAACTTTATACAATTTCCGTTTTTTAATAAAATAAAATTTGTTTGTTTTTTATTTTACATAAATTGATCTATAAGATTAATTACGTTGATATTATGTATAAAAATGAATTTGGAAATGTTTTTTTCATAACATATTTGATCTATGAAAATTCCATAATCATAGTTATCGATAGAAATTATAGGTAACATTCAATCGAAATTTCTATATTAATCTAATTAATGATAAGAAGAGCAAATATAGTAATGACTTTATAAATTAGATTAACAGCTGTAGATGTAGTTTTAAAGAAAACACCATTAATGTATTGTTTTACTAAGTAAACGAAAAGCTTTATTATTTGTCATATGTTCGATAGATGGCGTATTCTATTCTTTTTGTTTTATTGGCTGCATAATTTTAACAAATACAAAAATAAAAATGGCGATCGTTAATGAAAATCGTTATACATTTCATAGTTGTCATCTTATTTGAATATAAGATATCTCTTTTGAAATGTTACGGCCTCGTCGAAGTGTTCGTAATGGTCCTATTGAAAAGAAACCAAGTGTTTCTTCATCAGTATCAAATCCTATACCATCACCACCATCTCCACCACAAATTTCCAATCAGGAAGAACCACTTCGTTTACTTGAACCACGAGAATGTGTTGGACGTTCAATACAAATTGGTTTAAATGAAGACATTGAACTTATATTTAAAAATCCTCCATCATCTGATAGAACATCACCGATTCCTCCTGAACTTAAAACACAAAAATCAGATATTATTTCAAATGAAACAAATCTAAATGATGAACCACCGAAATTTCAACGTACAGAACGATTTATAAGATATATTGAACCGACACAAAATGAACTTGATGATATGGTTGAATATGAAATGGATGAAATGGATTTAACTTGGCTTAAACAAGTTAATCAAGAACGTAATAAACGTAGTTTACGTCCTGTTATTGAAGAAGAATTTGAATTATTAATTGATCGATTAGAAAAAGAATCTCATTTTCAAGCACTTGTTAATGGCGATGATTTAGGACAATCAATTGATGAAGATGCTTTATGTGTTATATGTTTAGATGGAGAATGTTCGAATTGTAATGCTATTTTATTTTGTGATATGTGTAATATGGCTGTTCATCAAGAATGTTATGGTGTACCATATGTACCTGAAGGTAATTCTAAACTTTTATAATCAAATTTAGAAATGCCTGTAAACATTTATTTTATTTATAATTTTAATTTTTTTTCAGGTCAATGGTTATGTCGTCGTTGTTTTCTTTCACCATCAAAATCAGTTCAATGTGTTTTATGTCCAAATCGTTTTGGAGCTTTTAAACAAGTCGACGATGGTGAACGTTGGGCACATGTTGTTTGTGCTATATGGATACCAGAAGTTCATTTTGCTAATACAGTTTTTCTTGAACCAATATGCAATATTAATCAAATTCCAACGGCACGTTGGCGTTTTACATGTTATATATGTAAACAAAAGAACGTTGGAGCATGTATACAATGTGCTATTCGTTCATGTTGTACATCATTTCATGTAACATGTGCTCAACAAGCTGGTCTTTATATGGAAATAGATGAAAATGATGAAAATGAATCCATTGCTAATGATGATGTATCAAATGGTCCATCATCAAATAAATACAAAAAACAACCACCAAAAGATTCAAATCGTTCACCACCACCTATTCGACGACGAGCTTATTGTCATCATCATACACCAATGGAAGTTGTTCGATCAAAAACAAAAGGTCGAAAAAACAAAGGTTTGCTTAAACTAAAAGAAGAAGTATTGATTTAGTTTTTCAAATTTAGATGAAAGTGAAGAAGAAGCTTTGGAACGTATACAAAAAGAACGTATGAAAACTGCTCGAAAAATTCTAGCTGAAAGACGAAAATGTGATCGATCAGTATCTGTACCAGTGGTACCAAAAGAAAAGTAAAGAAACATTAAATACTGTTCAATTTTATATTTTATAATTTCTTTTAGAATGGAAGCTGTTTTAAATAAAGTTACTTTTTCTGATCGTGATAATTTTTTTAAACGTATTCAAGCATATTGGACATTAAAACGCATGTCAAGAAGTGGTGTACCATTATTAAAACGTCTTCAAAATCAAAGATCAACAAAGAAAAAAGTAATTTTTATTGCTTGTTTCTTCTTCTTAATAATTAAATCTTTCTCTTCTTTCGTGTCTAGTCTAATAATGCTTCAGAATATACTGATAAACAATTATCTCAACAAATGATTCAATGGCGTCGTCTTCGACAAGATCTTGAACGAACACGACTTCTCGTTGAATTAATACGCAAACGAGAAAAATTAAAACGTGATTTAGTAAGATTTTTTTCTAACTTAAAAGACAATGATTAATGAAAAAATTGTTTTTTTAAGATTAAAATTGATCAACAAGTACTTGATAATCAAATACGTCCATTAAATGTTTTTCTTCATCATTTACTTGATCTATTAGAACAAATTGATGATTGTCATTATTTTGCTAATCCAGTTGATGAAACTGAAGTAATAGAAAAAGGTTTCTTTTTTCTAAATATTTATATGTACGATTTTATATTTAGGTACCAACTTATTATTCATTTATAACACATCCAATGGATTTTTCAACGATAAAGAAAAAAATTGATCGAGATGAATATACGAATTTAGATCAATTTGAAAATGATTTTGGTTTAATTATTAAAAATTGTCATTTTTTTAATGAAGCAAAATGTATGAAAGAAAATAAATTTTATTTAGAATTTAATTTGAATTTGTTTTTGTTTGATATTTTCAGCACCATTTTATAAAGCTGCAACAAAATTACGTGATAAAGTATGAAAGAATCATTTTTTAAAATCATTTATTGTATTTATTTACGTTTTAAGGGTTTAAATTTGCTCAAACAAGCTCGAAGGATCTATGAAACTACACGATATGATGCAAAAACTGGACAACTTAAAGAAGAATCGAATGTAGATGGTAAGAAAAATTTTCTATGAAGATTTTTCACTTCTATACGAAACTGTTTTAGATCTTGATCATTCATTTGAAGATCGTCTTGAAGTATTACTTCAAAGATTAAACGAATATCAAGCAATTGGTAAAAGAAATTATTTTTATTTGTGATTAAAATTTTCCTTTTTGTATATTTGAAGAGCCCCGATCAAAACATGTTGCAAATTTGAAAAAACAAATAGCTCAGGTACGTCGAACAATAACAAAAAATCTCTCAAGTTCATCTGTAAATAATACGACTATTAATAATGATGAATCTATTCAACTACGAATACCAAATGATGAATCAAGTAATTTGTTATAGAAAAAAATAATCATAAATTCTAAACAAAATGTTTTGCTTTCTCTAGTGGAAACAGTAGGATCGCTATCACCTAATGTTTCATCATTAAATGTAACTAAAAATCAATCAGAATTAGTTGATATACAATCAACATCTCAAATGTAAGTATATAGACTAATCCTTTATAGATACTGTTTCAGCAATAGTTCGCGAAACATCAAATGATACCACGATATAGATTTTTCATATAATATAGAAGATATTGCTATACATATATCAAGTAAAAATCTTAATGTTCGTAATAAGACTGTTCGATACGATTTTTGTTAACCTTATAGAGATTGCCTTAGGGTTGCATCTAACTATAGAAATGGTGTTTACAGAGTTAATTTAAATACGATATTAATAATTTCAACTGATTAAGATTTGTTTCATAAATATTATGATTTTAGTGATAAATCCAAGCTAATGGAATCCAAAACTCAATCAGATGATAGTAGCAATGAATAACATATCAAGTAAAAATACAAAAATTTTCTCATTGAACAATATTCATTTAAATTATCTAGTTTTTCTCAATCATTAAAATGCTGATCTTTTTTTTTCTTTTTGCGCGCAATGTTTATTCGAAAAAAATATACTTTTGTGTATTAATATTAATGTCATTTTGATGTTATAATGTTGGCCTTTTTTTTTGTTTTATGTATATATTGTAGAGTGTTCCTATATGATGATTTCTTTCTTTTTCTCTTTTTTTTTGCATTGACGCGCATTTATTTGATTCTAATCGTATCTTTAGATAATATTTATAATGATGCCATGTTTTAAATGTGGTCATCCAGGACATTTTGCTCGTGAATGTATGCATTTTATAGGAAATCCTTCAACAAATTTCGATTCATTTATTGATATGCATCAAAATAAAGATATGTTGATTAATCATAGTACTTTTGTCTATAATAATAATAATATTTCAAATAATGGTTCACAACGTTGTTATCGTTGTAATGAATTTGGTCATATAGCACGTGAATGTACTTCGAATAATGATATTCGTAAGTTTATTTCTAAAATGACACTATTTAGAAGTAAACATTTCAAGGTACATGTTATAATTGTGGTCAAAATGGACATATTCGTACTGAATGTATAGCACCATTAAATATGAATAATAATTTACAAACGAATACTCAATGTTATCGTTGTGGTCAATTGGGACATTTGTAAGGATTGTTTTTGTTAAAACAAAAAGAAAAAGAAACTGATGAACGCTATTTTATAGTGCAAGAGATTGTATAATATCAATAGAGAATAATGTTATTCCTGTATCTCATATATCAAATAATGTTTTCAATGATCGAAGTTTGTTATTCTGTTTTTCTTTTCAAAGTACAAAATTTTTCGTTTGAAATAGTATGTTTTAATTGTTCACGTACTGGTCATATTGCTACAGCATGTCCAGAAGGCCATCGAACAGATATGCGTGATATGGTTTGTTATTGGTAAATAAAAAATTATACTGAAATAATATTGTATTATAATTTGATATATATTTTAGTTGTAACCGTCCAGGTCATTTATCTAGAGAGTATGATTTATTTTATTTTTTAAATCATATTTCTGTTTTGTTTTTTCTAGTTGTCCAGATTCAAATATAAAATGTTATTCATGTGGTTCAACAGGTCATATGGCACGTGATTGTTTGAATAATCGTATATTTTCTTCCTCGTCGTTATCTTTTCAAGCACGACAAACTATGATTCCACAATAATCAGATAATATTCATGTGCTATGGATTAATGAAGCAATAAGATATTGTTTTTCTTAGAAAAAAAACTTTTAATGATCTTGTTTTGTTTGTTTATTAGTTCTTTTTTTTTATTTGTCATTTGATATTTGACACAAAAAAAGAAAAAAATATGAATGAAAAATAGATATGATGAAAAAAATAATTTTGTTTTGTTTCTCTTATTTAATTTTTTAAAAAGTTAAAATAACTTCGCTTCGTAATGATTCTGTATTCATCTTATCAATAATATAATAGATAATGAATGATTTATGTACAATTACACGTTATTATGGTAGTAATGAAAAAGATCTTGAAAAACTTTGGTGTTTTATTGGACAAGCACAAACATATTCAAAACGAATATTAATTGGTGTTAATATTGAAAAAGATTTAACAGATTGTATTAAAAAATATTCTCAACAACAACACTTATCGAATATATCCGTAGATTTTATAGCAATTCAACCATGGATTGGAATATCAACACCATTAAATATTCTTTTAAATCATATTTCAATCGATCAATCATTTATTTTAATTCAATCCGTTGAAATTCAATGTACATCACAACATATCGATTGTTTACGATCATATCTACAAGAAGATAATATTCTTTGTGTTGGTGCTGCACTTGATGGTCATCAGATATTTACTAATGATTTAAATAAAACATATTTACCACTTCAAGGTGTTACAAGTCCTTGGAATACATTTGCAATATGGAATTCAGAAAAATTACGTCGAACTGGTTTTCCAATGTGTTCTGATTTTGTTAATCCATCAGGTATGGAAGATGCTGCTGTTATTGCTCTACAACAAAAATTATTTGGTGGTAGGACAAAAAATCGTGCTTTGCTTATTCATTTTCATACTAATGTTCAATGGTTAAATCAATTTGATTATGATCAAGATAGATGTTCAAAACATGAAATTAAAATGAAATCAAAAAATAATCGAACTAAACAACTATTACAAATATTAGATATATCTGATAGTGATCAAGAAGATAAAATTGGTATCGAGTATATTGTTAATAATAATATCAGTAAGCTATAAACTTTGTATGATAAATAAGAAAAATAATTTTATTTTTTAATACTAACCACATTTTCTTTTATATTTCGGTTCTATATAAAATAACTAAACTAGAGAAAAAAATTCATGGTGAAATTGATTCACCTTCTATATAATCAATAGAATATGATTCAATTTCATCTGAAACATTTTCTATACTATTAGTAAATACAGTTATAGTTGACATAGTTGATAAAGTATTTTTATAATTAATTGCTGTTGTAATACATTTATAACAAAGATCAAATGTTAATGGTGAAAGATTTTCATAGCATATTGTACAAAATGGAATCGAATCTTTATTTATAAATATAAAATCAATAAGATTTGCTGGTAATATAGACATACGTGTCCAACGTTGATTTGCATCTTTAACACGTTGACGTAATTCTTCATGTTTAATTCTTGAAATATGTGGTCGTGATGCTTTAACCAAAACATCATGTTTTGAACAATGTTTATGTGTTATATCAATATCTCGAAATGTAATTGTTGATGTTTTTGTATCATTTATAGAGGAAAAATTTGATTGATTATCAAGAATTAATTTACTTCTTGATGAACAACAAGTACATATTAATAAATAACGAAATAAATTTATATAACGATAATGTTGCGATTGTTTATTTCGAATTTTTGTACATGCTGAACATGAACAATAATATGTTATTGTTGTGGACATTCATTATCAAATAACTGTTACTTTTCTCGATTTCGTTTCTCTTTGTCTAATGTCATTGAATATGTAAATGTGAAGAAAAAACGAATTGATCTTATTTCCTTGAATAATCAATATAGGTTACTTGGCGAACAATTGAAAATGAAGGTAATTTTTAGGATTAAAATAATATAATAATAGACAAAAACTACCTCAATTTCGTTTGAATAAAATTGTCTTCTTTTTTTTTCAATGAATGTTTAAAAAGAAAATAAATGTAAAAAGATCAATCTTATAGTCCTTTATATATCAAACAAAATCTTAAGGTCAACCTTGATATCATGGAACAATGATAGGCGGATAGACAATTTACATTGTATAAACAAATACACAAATTCATATAATAAAAATATATTATTATTTCTAATAAAATCATATTCTTTTGTTTTAGATGGCTCATTTAATGATTGTTAATCTGATTCTTTATACGCTTTTTGCAGCGATTACTCTTTATTTATTTGCATATGTTCACCAACAGGTTCAAGAACCTTATATGGATGAATATTTTCATTTTCATCAAGCAGCTAATTATTGTTCAGGAAATTATAGACATGTAAATATTCATTATTAGTTAACTGAATAAAAAAATACAAATTTCTTTTTATTTCAGTGGGATCCGAGTATTACTACACCACCTGGTTTATATTTAATAACACATTCCATAGAAATGATATTAAATAATATTCAACTATTAAATAAAACATTTGGTCCATGTTCATTAGGATTAGCACGATTTACAAATGTTATCTTCATGTTAGCATTACCATTTGTATTCATAAAATATCTTAAGAAGATGAAAAAAGAAGATGAGAAAGTAAGTTGAGAATATAGGACAAAAATATATTCTGTTATTATGAAAAGATTTTTAATGACGTTATAATTTAATCTAAAATTAGAAACTATATTTTTGTTTAATACTACCTTCTGATTAAAATAAATTATTAATCTTTACACACGGATATTGATTTACCATTGAAACAAAAGATTCTTATAATAATATGATCCTTTTCCTAATATAAAATCGTATTTTTAGAAGAGATTATCATCAAATTCATTTATACGAAACATTCGGCTATGAGAAGATTCTCTACTGAGTGACCTTTATTGTAGAATATTATTATTTAATGATCTGACAAAGTTTGCTTATTTTCAACTGGGATAAGCTGTAGATAAAAATATATAATAGTTGTTCGTGAGTGAAATCGTCAAGTCATTTAACAATTGATTCTAGTCTGTAAGACAATATGTTGTAACGTGGCTGTACACGATCTGATGTCATACTTTATTTATAAAGAAATTTCTTGAATATTAAGAATTGTCCAGAAGAATTCAAGATTTTAATCCTTTTGAGTCAACATCTCTATTTACAATGCGTAAAAAAGGTAATACGCCATTGTTTTCACGTCTTACAGAAATTTGAATAGATTCAACGTAAAAAATCCGATAGTTCAACGTATACCTGATAATTAACAGAGAATAATCATTTAAAATTCTACCGGATTTTAATTTTTAATTAGATAAATTAATCTTATTTTAGACTTCAACACTTTCTGCTCTATGTATTAGTTGTCATCCATTGATTTATTTTTTTACGTTTCTCTATTATACTGATGTTGGTTCATTATTTTTTGCTATGATATCACTAACAACTTATGTTTATCATTATCATCTTTGGTCAGCAATGTTTTCTCTTATTGCTTTAACATTTCGTCAAACAAATATAATAATTGTCGCCTATGAAATTGGTTTAACAATCATTGAAGAATTTCGTTTAAAATCTAAACAAAGTCATATATTACATGTTTATACATCACGTTCCAGTGATACAATTGATCTAAAAGAATATTTAACAGTCCTATGGAAATATGGTCGAATAGAAATAAAATTTATTTTAAAAATATTTCAAACAATTCTTTGGAAATGTCGATATAATATATGTGTAATTATATTATTTATAATTTGTTTTATTAAAAATAATTTTTCCATAACACTTGGTCATCAAGAACATCATCAAATGGTATTACATTTAGCTCAAATGCATTATTATGCAATTTATACAGCATTTTTTGTTTGTGCCCATCTAGTAAGTTTATATCTAAAGAGAAAAATGTAAAAGGGTATATGAATACTGAATAACATGCGTAAAAAGAATTTAGCTTGACTTAAAAGTGCTTTAGATAAATAAATAATGTACTCATCAGTCCAAATAAAAAAGAAGAGAATGGAATGCGACGATGTCATATTTAATAATAATTCAAGATTATTAAGTATTGATAGGAATGAAAAGAATGTGATATTAATGATGATTATAAAGTCAAAAAATTGCTTACAATTTAGATTATTTTTTTTTTCGTCTAACTTTATATAAATAAAAAGAATTAGTTGAGTTAATATCAAAATCGCATATCTATTATATATGCAACATTTAACAAATCTTTATTAGTTGAAAAGAATAAATAATTACATAAGCTTTTTTTATTTTCTTTTAAGTTAACCTCGACAAATTTTCTTCGTTTATATCGATTTCTTCGTACACATCCAATTATTTTTCTTATTTTACTTCTATTAATAAATTTAAGTATAAAATATTATACTTATGAACATTTATTTCTTATATCTGATAATCGACATTATACATTTTATATCTGGTCACGTTTATTTAAACGTTATTCACAATTTCGTTATTTAATATCACCTATCTATGGTATTTGTATAATTTTACTTTATTTTCAAATCTATGATCGATCATTATTAAATATTCTTCTTTTATTAATATGTATTATATTATTAACTATATTTCAAAAATTATTAGAATTTCGATATTTTATTTTACCATTTATACTTCTTCGTTTATCGATTAATGATAAAAAAACATCGAAATTAATTCTTGAACTTATACAAGCAATTATTATTAATGGAATAACATTATATATATTTTGTCATCGAACATTTTCATGGCCAACACATCCGAATATTCTTCAAAGATTTATGTATTAATAAATAACTAACATTTTATTATTGTTATGATTTTGTTTTTTCCTTTGTCAAAAAGAAAACAGACATAACTATTGTTAGAAATTATTGTTAAGAACAAAAAAAAAACAGTTTTAATCTATATTTTTTCTTTTTTATTATTATTATTTGCTATGACTGATTGTATCGATAGTAAATATTGAGTTATGATTGGTATGATTGATGAAAAAGAAAACAGAACGAAAAAAGAAAACTTGTTAAATTAAGTTTATGATCACGTCTACATAG